TTAGTGATTTCGAGCAGTACTTTCTGGCAAGGCCCCGAATTGTTTATGGATTCATCAGAGCGTAACGGTGGAATCGATATTCCGACGCCGTCATTAACATACGAGTAATTGGTATTGCTCGATAAAACCGCGGGCCTCGATAAATCCAATCGCAATACGGATATTTTTCAAGGGATAAATCCCACGCCGCCGGTCTGCCTGTTCCTCCCCTCGTCCGCTCGAGCCGATTGTCGGCGTGTTACGTTCGGTCTGTACGTGATTTTCTTTGCCCACGATAAGCCGATTCGCTCTCGACGTTTATTAGCATACGATAATTGCTGGACCGTTCGCGTCAGGTTCCACGCGGCTTTCCGATCGAAAAATACGCTTGTAGCAGCTTCGTGGTACCCAGTCCCGGAGCGTAATTCGAGCCTCTTCACGCTGGATTTTTCGCAGCGGTTCTAAGGGCTCTTATCACTTGTGCGTAAGGTATGTTTTTCTGGAGCACCCAGGATATGTGACTGGAGATTAAATATAAATTCTGTGGCTGCTGTTGAGACGATTGGCCGGATCATTCATGACCCATAACAAGACAACTCAGTCCTCAGTTGTTACGTACACTGTTTGATGACTGTATTCGTCGTTGAGTCGCCAGTGACCCGGCCATAGGACTTCGTAACTTGAAGTGGAATATCACAGACTTTTATATCATCCTGCAAATATCACCCACGGACGAAGTACTAAAAAAGCGTCCCCCGAACGTTTCAAACGAAGAAAAGCTTCCGATCACCACTTCTGTGTGTTTATTGTGCATCGCTTCCAGTGATGATCGAGACCTAAAACACGAAGGACGGAATTAAGGATTCATACGTCCTACCCGTTTTCCGTCGGTCGTGAATATGCCCCGTTTGAATTCCCAACATTCCGCTTCGCGATTCGACGCACGTATCGTCGCCACCAACCGAAGAGACTCGATTCGAAAATGCCCGCGCCTCGCCGTCGCCAGACAACGAGAACGGTTGAATGATATTCATGATTGAAAGGAGTTCCGGTCCGTGTAACCGGCGGGCCAGAACGTGGAAATTGCGAGAACGAGTCCCGAACGAGCCGCCGGCCGGATGGGGGAGTAAAATGAGGGGAAAAAACGGAAAAAGAAAAAGGAGAGAGGGAGGTTCCCACTTGGTTCGCGCGCGCGCCACTGGCTGAAAGAGAGACTCGAGGCTCTTTGAGACCTGTTCCACACCTACTCGAAAGCCTCCGAGGCTTTGCGCGCGGTCTACACTGTTTCTGAAACTCTCTCGCTTGGCGCTCAGTTTCCCGCGCTTCCGTTGTTCCCTCCCCCACTCGTTGATTCGCGTTCCGTTTGCCTTCTCTGTATCACAGTGTCTCGTTTCATATTAGCATGGCGTCTCTGGAACCTTAATAACCTTTCTGTGACCAAACGGAATATTGATTAACTGAATCAAGGATGTAATCTCGTGGAAAGGTACTTTCGAAAAGATAAGACGAGGAATAATCGTAATCCGTATCAACCATGCGCGACCTCTTTGTAATGGCGGATCAGGTATCCTCTAAACCCCATCACCTCGCAACTTCCAGTTACTCTTTCCGGCGAGCGACTGTTCTGATCTTTGTTCACTTGGGGAATTTGGATTCCTACGAAGTGAACAATTGTAGTAATACACCGTTTTGATACATTGGAAGCGTTTTTTTTTACGATGTAAGAGGGTTCGAAGCGAAGATGTCGCGACCAATGTTGTACCTAAATTGTCATCCAGAGGATACGCAAGTATTGACTAGTGTTATTATTCGTTTCCAGAGATCGGAAACCGGAAGTCTGCGTGGCTCGGCGAGTGGCAGACTCCACGGCGGAGCGTGTGGCCGACGACAAATCTGGGGAGATTCGTGAAAGAGCAGGGACGTAAATCGAATTAAGGCGTACGGAGACGGTGCGCTCGAACGGACGCGTTTTTCCTGAATGGCATCCTGGTGCTCGTTCCGCCGAACATATCGAGCGAATCACGATAAAGCACTCTCGACACGTCTCGTTGTCGGACAAAGGGGCTACACGGACGCTGCTTGAATCGAACTCTGGCCCCCACCCCCTTCCTCCATTTTCCTCCATTTTTCCATCCACCGCCTCTGTTTCCTCCCGGTTGACCCTCTTCCGTCAGAAAAACCGAAATCGAAGGTCAACCTGCTCGGCCCCCTGGTCACAAAGGATTGGGGATTCTTCGAGGCAAGGTAAGAGCTTTTCCATCCTCTTGACGATTCTTTGCATAGAGACCTCCACCGATTCTGAGCATCTTTTTCCTTTGAGAGACTGTGCACAAATCCCTATTCACGGCTTAATTCATGGGTAGCCATATATAAGAGGATCGTGATGGCAGATCAGGAACTGACATACAGTAAATCATCAATGGGAGTTCGAAGGCTCCTCGACATTTAAAATTAAATATTCCGTAAACTAATGGCCATATGCGGCTGAAACAATTTCAGAATTCATTAAAAAGTCAGCGTCACACCTGGGGACCCTTACTTATCAGTGACGATGAGCCTTCGAACACTCATGCATGATTTATTACTGTATTTGCATCACTATCTAGAAAGGAGTTGCAAGAAACTTTCGGGAATTGTCTGATCACTGTAATCTCGGGGTCTTTTAATTAAACTCTTGTTATTCAGGATGGAAATCAAGTCTAATTGTAGTAAATTTTGAATTCCAATTTACATCGAACCAAGAAGAACCCTGGGAATGTTCTGACTCATTGAAATCCAATGGTCTTTTAGTCCCTGGAAACCTTGGCAATCGAGCCGAACTGTGTCTAGTATATTTTTAATTCTACTGGAAATAACCTCACGAATGAGTCCAGGCGATTTTCTCGTCCCCACGAGACCGGTACGCACACGTTTCAATTATTTACACGGCATTTACACTCGATAGAGACAGAAATTGCCGTGTTATATAGATGGTCGTTCCGGAGCCTAGGTCGCGGCGACAGGTACGATCGATTATCGCGTGCGAACCGACCTTACATCGGGACAGAAGGTTTCTGGGAAACCGTGTCTCTGGTTCACGAGGTCGTATTTATTGTTCCCGGCGGAATTGGATTGCGGCAAATTGCTGTTCTCGCGATCGCGCGCGCGCACACCCGCCTTCTTCCATCGCCTTTGCACGGTTTCTCTTTAACCCCTTTCATCACGAATCACATGCTCCGCTTTCTATCTGCAATTTCGGTCGCGCACCCCAGTTATCGAGCCTGGCACTCATATCGAGTCAGTTTCCCTCACCTCAAACTTTTTTGCGATTCTATCCAGTAGACTATTCAGAACTCGATTAATGTTTCAGACATCGATTACTTTTTCAGAATTCAAATATTGTTTGAGACGTTGATAAGTGTTCAGACCTTAATAAATGTTCATCGCTGTCTCTACTTGCGAACGAACTAATTAATTTGTCAGAAGACGTCCATTCATGAAATAAAATCCTGGTGAAATCTGGTTAGGTATTCGGTAGATCCAAGTGTATGTAATATAGAGGGGGGCAGCCAGTAGAGCGAGACAGAGGAACGAAAGGAACCCTGTGCATTCGGTTCGAAAAGAATTACATGAACCGACTCGGAATGAAACTTGTCCGCTCTTATTTCTCCTTTACGTTTCAATACACTCGAAGACGTGTAGCTCCGGCCGAAAAGCCATTCGAAGAACGTCGGTGGATTTATCTACCCGGGGGCTGTCTCTTTCTGGTTCTCTCTCACGAGTTGCACAGAGCTTCGGTGGTTCTCGGAAGATCGAGACCATCACCGTTTCTCGCGACGAATCGGGGTATCGATCGGAACTGGACCGACCAATTTCCCGTCGAAAACGGTCAGTTATAATTTTCACGGACGTTTAATCAACCGGCGTTCCACGCGGCCCTCGTAACTCATCGACGGGGGCTATTTACTTTTGCTCTGCCCGCCGTTGTTCCCCCCTCTTCTCATCCGCGTTGTTCGCCTCGTTCCTTTTCATCCGTGACACACGTTCGATTTGCCGCGGGAAACGATATTCGATGCAATAATATACAACGACGCGTGAATGCTCGATAAATCGCCTGACGTGTGTGTGTGTGTGTGTGTGTGTGTGTGTGTGCGGCCCTGCTCGAAAAAGGCAAAATTGCTAGGTTCTTCCGCATTCTGGGCCGACGGCCAGGCTTCACAGGATTCCGCAAATGCGGGACGCACACCTCTGGTATTCTTTACTTGTGCTGCAATTTTCTGGATCATTAAGTCGACCCGTTTGGCCCTCAACGTGAACCTCGATTATCGCGTTATTAACCTCGTTTCGACGGTACAGATTTCGTTCAGACGAAGTTCAGTTGTGTTGGCGCCGGTTTGATATTCTGGAACTTGGTTCATATCACGTTCATGGTGCTCTGACCGGAGTCAAATCAAGTTCCAGGTGTTCTCACTTGAGTCAGATCAAGTTGAAGTTGTCCAACTTGACTCGGATTAAGTTCAGCGATCTCGCTTGAGTCAACTAAAGTGCAAAGTGTTCTTACTTGAGTCAAATAAAGTGCAAAGTGTGCTTACTTGAGTCAAATCAAGTCCAGATTGTCTGACTTGATCCAGATCAAGTTCAAGGCGACCGACTTGACTCAGATGAAGTTTACCTATTTTGAACTTGATCCATATCAATTTTTACTATCTCCAACATGACTTAAATCAAGTTTAACCCATTCCTACCTGATTCAACTCAAGTGCACTAGGTTTCGACTCACATCGAGCACAGTCTCGGGTTTTAAATCCTATCCATACCCAGCAACCAATGATTCAGATCCAAATATCTGATCCATAGTTTATATTTCCAGATCGAGTCAACGTCCACGTGTCCCATGAAGTCCACAGACGCGATCAGAGTCGGGGAGCGTACGTCGCCAGTGATAATCACCCCGTTACCAACCGGTCTCAGCTCGAGCTGGTGCTCCAGGTGAATCGAGACCTTTAGACACACGACGCGAAGGGTGGATCATTCCCAGGACCATGTACAAGATCCTACGACGCGGCTCCAGCCGCGTCTTCGTCGTCTGCGTTGTCCTTTTGATGCTGCTATTGTGCCTGTACTACGTCAGCCAGGCTCAGGCGCCCTCCGCGGGACCGTCCGCAGCGATTCTGAACGAGGAGCTTCGTTACGAACGGGGACCGACCTCGATCACACCGGACTACGTCGAGACCCCGGACGCCAAGGTCTCTCTGGACACATGTCCCATCATCGTGCCCAGGAACGTGGACATCGACACGCAGCAAGAGTTTGAGAAGTTCGACTTCCAGGTTAGTGAACACCATTGTGGTGTATTTCATTGGCCCTGGGCCGAGAGTCTACAAATCCGTAATCAGACGTACGGACTCCTCTACACTAGGTTATGATGGATAAATGAACTCAGGTTTATCATCATATAAATACCCACGCCTCTTTCTATCACACTAACAAATTTTTACTTTTATCTGAAACACCTTGTAGAATCGAAAATCTATTAAGAGATTTAATGTATTACTAGAGTAGAACAGCTTAACGAATAAGGATCAAGTTTGTCAAAGTATGGTGGATTATTCAAGTTGATTCAGCTGGTGTTATTGTTAATTCACACGACCGTGGAACACCTAAGGGATTGCAGAGAATACATAGGTACGTCGACCGTGGAAACTTTTCTTGGTGATAGAAAGTATAGAGGTCAATTATCGGTGAATTCAGTCCCTCGGATAATTCTCATGCATAATCGATAGGAATATTTACGTTCCCCGTGGCGTTGAGCACGCCAGGTCCGTAGGAATGTCTCAAAGACACCACCGGAGGGCCGGATAGTTCGCCTCGTTCCGGAAGTATCGCGTCATTAGCTGGCGAACTTTCTTTTCTTTGGTCCCTAGGGGAAGTCTGCGGACTTTCAACGATCTAATGGACGACCCTCCTAATAAGGGATTTTTCTCGTTCCAGCCGGTCATTCGGTCGAAAATAATTTACTAGTTTTCCTCGAGCGTTGAAACTTGACTAACTTGAACCGAGAAGAAGTCTGATCGGACATACAGTGATAGCTCTGTCCCCGTTAGTCGGATCCAGAATGTCTCGCGGAGTAATTGAATCTTCTTCGGTGTTACCTGGCAAGTTACTGGTCGAGTTGATTAAGTTAGGCATTGGCCAGAACAGCTTCAAGCCAATCGAATTTGGGGTTGTGTAAATCAGACTCACTGAAGGTATTTCTAGCTCTGAATGACTCAAAACAAGTCCGGTTTATGTTTACATTCAGACATCTAGGTACAAATGTAACTTGATTCAAACTAGTGCAACCAATGGATGTTTAACTCAAACCATGTTTCATCAAAATAAACTTAACTCGGTTCAAGTTTCATAAAAATTAACTTGATTCAGACCTACCAGCATCAAATCGGAGCAGCTTCCTCTAGTCACCGTCTAACTCAAATCACTTTTAGCTACCAAAAATCAAGATCTAGCCAGTTTTAAGTGTCTCATAATGATTCTAGGTCTAACTGACACCAATCTGCACTGTGGGGCGGGCTAGAAAGAAACTTTCCGAGTTCCAAGCCGGTAATTTCTTTCAATTAGCAGAGGGGGCAGATGGTGGCCAGCCACGGAATTAATGTTTGCATTGGCGGGCTAAATAATTTCGAGGCCGAACGAAAGTGCAGAGACGGCGGTTCGCCGTGGCGACTCAATTAAACCGGCCGACCTCCGGCGAACTGTAATTCGTTTTAATTGCAATCGTTTCTGGCCGGGTGCACGCGATCCGCGGACGTCGTTCGGGACGATCGATCAGCGTGATCCCGAGTGGTAGGACACGTCTGTCAACCGACTCATTAAGCTGGGGGTCAACTTTAACTTTTCGAAAAACGTTTCGGCAACAATCATTTCCACGACATTGATTCACAGACGTCGACTTTGACCGATGTTGTATGCTCACGGATATTCACTGCAATATTGATCAAGGGTCGAATGCCATACTGACATTGACTGTGGGACCTGTATTCTCTTCTACAGGATCCAATTCATTACCAAAACAGGTATAATTTGTTCTAACTTGACTCATATTGAGTTTAAGGTGTTCTAACTTAACTCAAATCAAGTTCAAGACGTCCCAGCTTGACTTAATGCAAGTTCAAGGCCTTCCAGTTTGACTTAAATCAAGTTTAATGCCTTTCAGCTTGACTTAAATCAAGTTTAAAGCTTTCCCAACTTGACTTCCATCAAGTTTACGGGGTTTTAACTCGATTCGGATGAAGTTGAACCTATTTCAATTCGACTCCGGCTTCCGCTCACGAGGACACAATATTCCATCGTGAAGCGCCTAGACGGTCCAGGCCTGTCGATGCATCGCGAACGGGGCCACGTACGGGGTGAAGGGGCGGGGGACAAGGGGGACAAGAAAATAGAAAAACGCGGCGCGTATCGATTTTACGCCGGGAATCGAGAGTACTCGAGCTGCTCTGTCCCCCGGCGGCAACGGAAGTCGGAAGTCGTCGCATCCCAAGCTGCAATTCCTCTCGTCTGCCATAATTCCAAACGGAACGAACTTTGACTCGATAATAAGAACTGGGTCGTAACAATGATTTTCATACTTGATTAAACGTGACTCGTCTTAAGGGTCGATAATATCGACGTTCTTTCGCGGGAATTTTGAGTTTTCTCGTCATTGTTCAAATTCCAGCGGGTGGAAATGTTCGCCACAATGTGCTCCGGAGCCAAGCACTTTCCCGCTAGTTTCTCCGCAGAATGGCCAACTCGACGTTGTTCCCGTGTGCGCGATCCTCGCCGTCCCTTCCCTTTTCGAACAATATCCAAAAACAGCGCCAGGCCGTAGCTGAATCGAAGAAAAACCGGCGGAGTTCGGTTGAAAAGGGGGAACACGAGCTATGCTGCTGGCGGACGTAAGGACGGGCGGGTTATTCAAAGCGGAAAAAATTGTAGGGAGAGCCCCTTTGAAGCCGCGAAACGCAATTTACGTTGCACCGGCGGCCCACAGCCAGGAAGTTTTATTAGTTCACAGATGGCTTCCTGGGAAAATTCGCCGGGGGAATCGGGGATCGCGCGAGGCAGGAAACGGCAACCAGACCGCCGTCGCCACCGCGGTGCCCGAAACGAATCACGGGAAAAGTAGTCGCGGGCATCGCTTGGCTTCGAGCCTCTATAAGGCGGATCAAAGTTTGGTTGCAGACGCGTCGAGTACGAACCTTTACGTTCACTCGGTTACGATCGTAAATGAACTCAAGTCGATCGTCGTTTCAATACCAAACCTCTTTCTCTAAATAAAAAAAATTTTCACCTTCATTTGAAACGCCCTGTAGAATACAAAATCTGTGTCGAATCAGATTTCATCCAACGAAATGCTTCCAAGCTCCTGAAGTCAGGATAGACCAGTGGAATGTTACCTTCCCACCAGAGTCAGCTACCCTAGTTTAAATCGCCCTGTACATTCTAGGAACCACCGTGGCAGGGCGACAGTATTTCATGGTGGCAGACAGAAATTCGTTTTTCTCGCTCTGTCGACGAGGTTTCAAGGGTGTCGTGTGTCGCCGAAGATGGGGATTCCAGTCCTCCCCCGGTGTCTGGAAACGAAGGCTCACGGCCTCGCAATTTAGGACCCTCCCCCACCCCAGCAGGGAGACTACATTTCGCAATTTGCTTAAGCAAACCTTTCTGGAAATTCATATCCGTCGTCTGCTCGTCTGGCCGCCCGTCTTCGAGGCGGACCCCTCGAAACGATTCTCGTGTTCGTCTTCTCCCCTTGCCCGATACCTAAGCCGAGTCCCGTGTCCTCCTTCAGGGAGGCCGAAACCTTCCTCGGTCCTATTTGGCGGCTGGCCAATTACTTTTGGATTTTTCCGGCTGCAGGCACCGTTTTTTAATCCCTCGTGTTCAACCTCGAACGCCCCCTCTCCGAGAGAAACGGGAAATTACAGATGGTTACACCATCCGTGATGCTAATACTTTATTCTACTGGGTGTTTCAGTAATGATCAGGATGGTTTCTTAAAGTTTGCACGCAGTAACCGAATTTTAGTGTCTATAGTTCCTACAGATCCTCGAAGAAATCCTTAATCTTCTCTACTTCGGTTGATTTTTTTCGGTGGGCCACCGTATTCTGTAGGGTGTTTCAGTAGTGCCCCACTATTCCTTAGACTTCGCACTCAGTAACCGAGTTAGGGACGAGTGTACGATTTCTAACGTATCTGTAATCCTTGATTAGTTTTGGTGGACCACCAATTTTTAATTACCCCGTATGAATTAGGATTTACACGAATCTTATGGGTTGATGTCTTTTTCGAGCAGGCTTGTAGTCGAATTTTAAAGTACAATCGCCGCTGTGTCGTCTACGTAGACATTGGAAATCTAAATGTACAGGTTGTTTCAGAATCAGAGCCCCGTATGTGATTGTATTTTTCCAACTTCCGTAAATATCCGCTCCGTGCTTTGACGTTCTCCCTCATCTTTGTGAGGGAAACGGCAGATACACGATTGCGGATTCGATTTTCTCACGACTCAATTTTCTATTGAATTTCTAATCCGATCGCGACCTCTCGTCGTCGACGCTTTATCTCCCCGGCTGCTCCATTCGATCTCGCGTCTCGCGTCTCAGGAATTTCCAATAAGAGAAACAGGCTCCTTTGCACCGCTCCCTAATGTCAGCGGTTTAATAATAATTATAAGGTATTTAAAAATCGATGAAATAATAGTAATTGTTATGTACAATATAATTATGATGTATGGAACGTTTTTCAGCAGAAAATGAAATTTAAACAAAATCCTTGTGAAACGATTACTTTGTAGTAGGACTGCTCAGAATGTCTGACCATTCCTGATCATTTCTACTTACCGTGAATGCAGACAGTGGACATTCTACAGATTGCTTGCTGTCTCTGTGAAATTACCGCAGAAACCGTGAAATATGTTTTCCTTTGTAACTAGAAGTATCTAGTAGTGTACTCTATCTTCAGATTTCCTAACTTACTGAAAATCAGAGAACTGTTATTGTCGGAACTTATATCGACTTCCAAGTGTTTCCTCCAACATGTATAAAATTCCCGACACATTTTCCAACGCGTCGGACAAATAGTCGAGTTGGTCACTCGATGTTTTCCCGGATATCGGCTCGTCACCGCGAACCAAGCAAAGAACACACCACACCGCCACCATCGTTGGGGTCGTGGGGAGAATCTGTTGCGGCCAAAGAACTCCGTCTGTCTCTGTTCTCCATCCGTCGCGGCCGGGGGCTCCCTTTATTCGCGGACGGTCGCGTGACACCGTGACAATGAAGTAAATGC